CGCGTACGAATAGCGACACACGAGACGTTCAGAACGTTTGTTACCAAAGAAGAGTTAGAGTTCTTCGACATTGGAGGAAATCCACAAGACCTGATGAGCTACATGGTGAAGAGTATGTCATGGCGTGGTGATGTATAATAAGCAGTAAAAACTAACCTTCGTGCCTTACTATAGATCCTGGACTAATACCCGGCGTGGATTCCCTAACTAATGGCGATATACCAAGAAAGCGGAGGATGCTCGCTGAGATGATGAATGGATGCTGGCTTTCATGTCACTCGCGTTGCCCTCAAACAGGGAAAAATTTCACCGCTGATGCTATCATAGCGAATCCTCCGTCTTTTGCCCACATTCATTGTGCCGAAGCATTGGGTATTCCCCTCTTATTATCGTTTAGTCAGTATTCCTCCCGCTTGCATCTCTTCATTCTAATGCTGTCCTTTTAGCCATGCCATGGTGAGGCACGTTTGCATCGACGGTATAACAAGCTGATTATCCTCCATCCCAGGAGTGCGACATCGGCCTTCCCTCATCCTCTTGTCAATGTCAAAGATTCGAATGCAAGACGAGGCCTGACAAATTATCTGACTTATCCACTGGCAGAACTCCTGACTTGGCAAGGGTTGGGTTATCTTATAATTCCTATTGGTTGGTGCTAACTGTAGTCTCAAGAATGGGCGACATCATCAATAAATTGCGTACACGAACCCTCGGCTTAGCACCTCTGTCCGCGCGATCGGGTCCGGCCGCTCTCGATACTTGCAAGGTTCCCTGGACATACTGTATGAGCCCAGCTCTTGTACCGAAACCGAAGGATTGGAAGAACCATATCGGTCTGTGGGATTCACAGCCAATTTTATATACCATCCTCACCTGCCACTAGATGTCGTAGGCTTCTATTTTTTGGACTTGGCCACGAATTATACGCCGCCAGATGACCTTGCTGCATTCCTGGCGTCCGGTGATGCACCAATATACATAGGGTATGTATCCATTTCATCGTTTACCCTTGGGTCTTATTGTTGTCAGATTCGGTTCAGTCGTAGTAGACGATCCCGTTGCAATGACAAGTACGATTTTTACCGTTGTGACAATCTAAGTCTGACTTGGTATCCAAAGGTACTATATTTGAAGCAACGAAGCAAGCTGGCGTCCGAGCTCTTGTATCCGCTGGATGGGTGCATCCGATTCCTATTTTCAACCTGTGTCATGCGCTTACGCTTGGTGATTTTCAGGGAGGGCTCGGAGGCGTCTCCATTCCGTCACATATCTTCATTCTTGGAAATATACCTCATGACTGGCTTTTTTCAAACGGACGTGTTGCAGCAGTTGTTCATCATGGTGGTGCAGGAACTACTGCGGCTGGACTATCTAAGGGACTTCCAACTGTTGTTGTTCCGTTCTTCGGTGACCAAGGATTTTGGGGTAATATGATTCATAAGGCCGGGGCTGGACCTGCACCGATTCCTCCAAAGAGTCTTACGGTAGATAGCCTAAAGGATGCCATCGGTTTTCTTGTCAGCCCCGCTGCAAAGAGTGCGGCACGAAGGATGGCAGAACAGATCCAGCATGAGGTTGGTCGATTTTCCAGATACTATCTGAAATTCATTT